CCTCGAATGCCTGTGGAGCCCGCCTCTCGTGAACAGAGCCCAGCTGATGGCGAAGAGGTTGACGGTTCGGGATCTAGTCGAGATGTCTTTTGTATCTGTCGAAAGCCCGAAGCTGGCATGATGATAGAGTGTGAACTGTGTCACGAATGGTAAGATACTTGGCTTCAAGGAAAGCAGGCACGTGCTAACAATTATAGGTATCACGGGAAGTGCTTAAAGATTGCGCGCGGAAAGGTCAAAGAAGACGACAAGTACACGTGTCCCATCTGCGACTACCGTGTCAAAATCCCACGCGATGCGACTCGTCCTAAACTGGAAGACCTGCAGCTTTGGCAGGACGAAGTTCCTGGTTTGCCGTTCCAACCCGAAGAAGAGGAGACATTGGACTCCCTTATCGAGCACGGTACCAAGTTCCGTGACTACGTTGCGCAGTACATCAATCCGTTGATGTCAAGCCCTGATGAACTCACCACGCAGCGGTTCTACCTACGGAAGCTTGAGGGTGCTGAGATCCTTCTCTCCAACGAGATCAACTTCTCCCGTCAGGAGCTGCATAAGTGGGCACCAGTTGCCCCACCGCCACCGCCGATTCTACAGGTGTCGCTCTCTACGCGTAAGCCTCGGCCCACGAAGCAACAAAAGCTTATGACCCAGTTGGGCATCACCAATCCAGATGATCTTCCACAGCACCTCAAGACCAAGACTCATCAGTTTAAGCGCAAGGATGGAGACGGTCTCAAGTTGACGAGTCAGCAATCTGGTACTGCTGAGCAATCTCATACACCCCCTGGCGAGCCTCGTCAAGGTGCTGGTGAAAGCAGTGAGTACTTTAACACAACCACTACGTCTACGTTCAGCAACTCTCCTACATTTGCTACGACGGCTCCACTCAGTTTTGGCGGAGGTTCTTCCATCGCGCCCATCGATCCAGGTCTCTTTGAGAGCTCAGGCCCGGCAGCTCCGACCAGTCCTATGCAAGACCCGTTCAAGAGCTCAGGTAGTGGCAACGAGATGTTTGGCGAAGCAATGGAGATGGGTGGTGGTCAGGCAGAAGAGGCATTGGCTGTCACCGAAGGCAACAATTACATGGAATAGAACTCCGACGGCTATACACCACGATCGCCAGGCGATGGCGCATAATTTCCTATAAGCATTTTAGGGCGGCGTTCGGCAAGGGCCGTTGTACAACACGGCTCGTTCTCATGTTTTGGTCTGGGATTCCACGACTGTTGTTGTCAGCATTGTCACTGTTTCATCATTTCGCGGATCATTGATTTTTGATAGCTGCTCCCACAGCTACTGCAAGGTTGGGTGTTCATGTTAGCATGGCGCTGCTTGTTGCATCAATGGGTGTTTGGGAGCGCGAGAGGGCCACTGGCCAGCATACCCCCAAAAATAGGCACTTGATGGGCTCAGAGTTTTAATACAATCTTCGATAATGAATGCATGCTGCAATAATCAACGAAGTCGGGTATCTGGTGAAGTTTGAGCTGAGGCCAGCTTGTACGCGTGATGCGGGGATCTCGGAGGTTTGCTCGAAATGCGCTATGAACGAGGCCCGTGCACACGACTTTTCTAAAGCCGACTCTGATGGTCGACGACGTCGGAAGACACATCGCAATGCTTCCAAGTAGAGGGCTGCGGCCGGCCCAGTTTGCGCCTTTGGCCTCACGACAATCGACAGCGTTACGATCCAATGCTACAAGGAAGGTGCGCATACCTGCGAATTTAGTTGCCCACTTGGTCGAAATCACACATCCGCCTTCTCCTGCCCAAGTCGCACAGTTTCCTTTGCATAAAGACTCCTCCACCGCTGCAACTGAAACCGGATACGAGCTCACATTCATGTACTAATTGCCGCAGTTCTCCTCCCTTCCCCGAACTGCCAACCTCTCAAGCTCGTCATGTCGGACAAGCCCGCTCCAGTCGGCGCTGTGGAAATCAGGCGCGAATCGGACTCAGAATGTCATGATGAGTGCGTCATCTGTCCGATACGCTTCATGGTACGCTCCTTGGAGCTGGGGCAAGTCTAGCGGCTCTGTCGACGCCAGTTCCCTTTCGCCTGCCGAACGGGTGCCAGTCGCCGAATTCTCGAATCGCCCAATCTCCGAATTTGCGCAAGCTGCAGAACCTGCCGTCACCACATCTACCCCGGAGCTCGCTCCTGCAGCCATCGATAAGCCTGCTGTTGTAGACGGAGCATCTGTGTCCACCGAGGCCGCAGCAGAAACCGCATCCACATACGCTGAACCCAAGACACTCAATAACCTGTTCGATGCCGAACCTATCAAGGACACTCTCCCTACTGCTGAAATCGACCCTACTCGCCTAATCGACCATGCCGGACAATTGAAGGAACTTGGCCTCGACTACGGCTACGGTATGACGACTCTTTTCGAGAAGACCATTGAAACCATCTACCTACAATCAGGCTGGGGCTGGGCTGGATCGATCGTTGCCGCTGGTCTTGTCGTCCGTTGCGCGACCTTTGTCTTCCAGGCTATGAGCTCAGACAAGATGGCAGCCATGGCCTCTTTGGGACCCATCACCAAGCCTATTCAAGAGAAGATGGAGGCTGCCATCGCTCGGGGCGATAAGCAGCAAGCCGATATGTACAAGATGCAGCAGGCGCAAATCATGAAACCATATATGGGAGGCATTCTCTCTACCGGAGGTTTCATGATCATGCAAGGCTGGATTGGATTTTCGGCCTTCAGATTTCTGAGAGCCATGGGCGAGTTGCCTGTCCCAGGCATGTCTCAAGATGGATTCTTGTGGTTTACTGATTTGACCGCTCGCGATCCCTATCTCGTTCTACCCTTTGCTACTTCAGCTATCATGTATACTGTTTTCAAGGTAAGTTTATACTCCCAAACAAGCTCCTGTACTAGCTGACGTGTCGAATAGACTGGAGGTGAAACCGGTATTCAAGCCGATGTTGGTCAGGCTGCCGCACGTCAATATATGTTCACTGGTCTCTCAATCTTCCTCGGTTTCGTTACAGCATTCCAGCCGGCTGGTCTTCAACTCTATTTCCTTGTGTCTGGTGTCATGGGCGGTCTCACCGGTTGGCTTCTGCGCCAGAACGGCTTCAGAAGTATGATTGGCATAAGGAAACTGCCCAGCAAGGCGAGCACCGAGCTCTATACCAAGGTTGCCAAGGGCGAGTTGAAGCTGAAAGACATCAAGGGGGCAGACGGAAGGGTTCGTTACCAGCCGCCCACCCGCACAGCTGCCCCGAACAATCGTCGGCAACTGTCTGGTATCAACCTCAAACCAGGAGTTGCCCTCCCTGCGCATCTCCAGGTGGCGGCACCCAAGATTGACACTGAGTACCCTGACCGTGACGTGGACTATGATGAAGGTATCAAGGGTAAGCCAATCAATGAGAAGTTGGACTACTACCGCAGGAACTACCGCATCAGCTACGTATGGAGGAGAATGACCAAGGCCACTGAAGCTGGAATGCGGAAGGTTGGTTTTGGAAGCAAGAAGATGTCAACGGAGGAGGCGAAAAGGAAGCAGAAGGCTGAGGATTACGAAATCGAGAGGAGGCGGAGGTTCCAAAACAGGGCCTAGACGCGTCGAAGAGACGTGCTAGAGGTTTAAGGAACTTGTATAATATACGAAGGTGTTCAACCTTGTGTTAGTAGTAGCAGCAGTACGTGCATCTCAAAACAGGGTTGGGACGAATAGGAGTTGGGCAGTACGCATAGTCAGATTTTGTACAAATATTGCATATGCAAATACTCCAGATCAGACTTGCCATGTCGGTATTCGCACTCTTGGATGTGTCGAGACCGTACTCGTTATGCGTATGAATCCTATGCCATGGATCGCACTTGTATGTACACATGTGTTCCAGGAACCTCAACCTTGCTTGCGGCTTCTACTCAAGAGACGTGTACATGTCCAATTCCTGGCCATTCCTCCGCCTTCGCTCCACAGGATCAGCGCGCATCTCTACACCAGGGCCCACACGTCGAGAGTCGGATCCGGAGCGGTGCGACGGGAAGATCTGCATCGCAGAATGTTAGCATTCTTCTGACCAAGGAGATTTTCATTCCTGAGGCCCTTTTACATACCTTTGTGCCACTCCAGCCCAACCGATACGCAGCTTCGTTTGCGACCAGCTCTCCAAAGCCCAACATGAGTCCATTGACAAACGGCAGGAACAGGTTGATGGCTGCGCCACGGAGTAACCCCCAGATTGTCGGAGGCTTGTAGAGGATCAAAGGGGTAGAACTCGAGGACGCTGGAGAGGAGGAAGAGAGCTCGTTGTTTGCATCGTAGTTTTCGCTGTCCGAGGGGATGGTTATGCCGGATTCGGTGAGGTTGGCTGCGTCGGACGCCATTTCAGACAGCGTGTGGGTGTTGGATGCGGAAGATGTGTAGAGGTGGGACGTTGCTTTGGGTACGTGGTGCAGGACGGTGGATGTTGAACGAGCACTGGAAGAAGCCCCACGCGGAGGTGATGCGGAGACGGCGCGGGTCTGGCTTGAGCTAGAGGATGGTAACGTATGAGGTCAACTCTGCTCGATTGACTTGGATTGTCGTCTACGGGGCCAGATGCAGTCCGCTAGGGCGCGTGGGTGAAATCGCGCGACACTCCCGAGGTAGACGCTCGTCGGTGTTGATGAGGCTCACATTAATCCCAGTCTTGCCAAGCATTATCTAGGAACATGGATGCATGCCGGAAGCTGCTGCATTGTCTATGCAACGGGATCTGGCTGGTGAATCTTGGAATTCAAGTGCATCCTGGACTTGAATTGATCAATCGTTTTGTTCCCTGGTTAGACAGTGCATATTCAGAAAGAGGTTTGCAATACGTAGTGAAGGAGGGAAGCAAGAGCAAGCGACGTCACCAGCTACCGCCTCTACCTAACAAAGCTCGCCGCGCTGACAGTTTACATGGACCCCACCCCCAACCAGTCAACGCGTGCGAGCTACACCAACCCCAACAACACTCTCATCTTCAACTGTAGCGTCATCCACCTGTAATGTCTGAAGCTGCACCCGACAACGACGCTCTGATCGCCCAGCTTGCTAGCCTTACTGGCCTCGATCCTGCAACAGTAGGTTGATAGAAGGTCATCGAAGCTATTGGACCTGCTCACTAACACGGACAATAGGCTGAACGCTACCTGAACGCTTCCAACGGAGATCTCACCCTCGCTGCATCGCTCTTCTTTGACGAGGCTCAAGAGCAACAAGAAGGAACTTCCGAACCAGACGTCGACATGGCCGGCGACGAGCCAAACACAGACCCTACCCAGAACCCTCCGCCCACCGGAGCTGGTGGTGGACGCACTCTCGGGGGCGCATATGTACCCTCGCCGGCGCCGGCGGCATCTTCATCATCAGCGCAGCCTGCTGCTGCTCGTGGACAGCCTACACAGAGAGGTGTGGCAGGTGCTCGCACGCTGAGGGACCTGCAGGCATCGGGCGGTGGCGGACACGGACACGCCCACGATGACGACGACGATGATGACCACGCCGACGACGAGAACCAGGACTTCTTTGCTGGTGGGGAGAAGTCTGGCCTGGCTGTCCAGAACCCCAACCAGTCGAATCCGCGCGACCAGATCAACAACATTTTGAAGCGGGCACGACAGTAAGTTGGTCAAGCGTTGTTCGCGCCACTCCAACTAACAGACGTAGAAACGCTCCCCGTCCAGGCGGTGACGACGAGCAACCAGCTAGCTCGTCTCATTTCCGTGGCGCAGGTACGACCCTCGGAGGCGACGATGCTCCTTCCCGGACCATCCCAGACCCCACGGCCAATATCCCCGCACCGCCCCCGCGCGCCCACCGCGAGCTTCACCTCTGGCGTGACGGCTTCTCAGTCGACGACGGCGACCTGTTCCGCTACGATGATCCCGCAAACGCACGCACACTGGAGATGATCAACACAGGTCACGCTCCACTACATATCCTAAATGTAGAACATGGCCAGGAGGTGGATGTCGAGGTGCACGCGCACAAGGACGAAGACTACAAGAAGCCAAAGAAGAAGTACGTTCCCTTCTCGGGTAGCGGAAACCGTCTGGGTAGCCCCACCCCGGGTGCAAGCTCAGCGGCTGCTCCCATGCCGGCTACTACTTCAAGTAGCACGGCAGCCTCGACCCCAGGGGCTTCTGCGCAACCTACCGTCGACGTCGACTCATCTGCTCCTACCCTTGCGCTCCAGATTCGCCTCGGTGACGGTACACGGCTGTCGTCGCGCTTCAACACGACACACACTATTGGCGACGTCTACGACTTTGTCACCAGGGCTAGCCCCGCCAGTCAGGATCGCGAGTGGGCGCTCATGACCACGTTCCCCAGCAAGGAATTGACGGACAAGGCCCAGGTTCTAGGCGATATTTCAGAGTTCAAACGTGGTGGTGTAGTAGTGCAGAAGTGGAAGTGAAGACGTACTTTACGTCGGTGCGCCCTCGAGTCCAGAATTGACGTTCATCGCAGATGGTGCGGGGTGCGGATAATGGAAGATTCAGAGGGTGGAAGGTTACGCTGATCATGACAATATCATTGCACGCAGATGCAGAAGGCGTTATGGCAAAATGCATGATAGATTTGGGAACGATAGCTGGATAGCATTCATGACAATATCGATCCTGCAGGATGCACAAGTTGCACAACCTGCCAAATGTGCTACCCGTTGTTATCTGGCATGGTGCGTTGCATTGCATGAACTCGACAAGTGTGCGCCTCGTCGCACTGCAGCCCGTCTGTTTGGCGGTCGCCTCACGATTGGCGGAACGTTTAGTATTGTGTTTGCAAATCCGTAATTTGTCTGGACAAAAGGGCCGAGAAGGAGTTTCCTCATTCTACGTTATCTGTTCATTGCTCAGGCTGACTGCCCATCGATGCAGGGTTTACTGTGGGACTGATGGTGCGCATGTCCGTTGGATCGGCTGAATAAGATGACGACCTGAGAATCGTTCCGTTTCGCTTGGCTAATAGACGCCCTTCTTATCTTTAATTATACCGCCAACGACGATGCAACAGCGACCGGAGCTAACAATATCGCGCCGAAGCCTGTCATGGTTTGTGTGAGTCGCGTTATTTGCGTGCGCCCCCAAATATCTGCAAAGGTGCAATGTCAAGTGAACAAGTCGCTATATCAGTCGTTGGGACTAGTTCCATCCTTCCCTCCGGATAGATGAGTCGCGGGCATGGTGCGACGGCTCTGCCGCTCGGAGGATTTTGCGAAACGCGCAAGCACCGATGTGAAGGAAGACATGGCACCACTAGGACGCAACCACTACTCGTCGCTAGAGGATCAACAGGCGTGCAACGCGTCAGCACTCCCCTGGAGTACCTTGCAGCACGGAGCGGGAGGCGGTGCGGGAGTTGGGGGTAAGGTGTGCTGGTGTCAAAACCGATGGGGATACCCAGATCGACGAGGCTCTGGCCGCGTACTGCCGTTTGAGAGTGTTCGACGCTTCTTCTGCTCGTGCAATTTCGTACCCTGTCGAGTTGTCTTGTCCCGCGCAGTTGGTATCGTCATTTCCGTCTAATCATCGTCTGTTTTTTTTCTCTTGATGCTTGCTCTCCTCGATCCAAATCGTACGCTCTTTTCAGTCTTGCGCTGTCCTCTACCCAATCGATCCACGTGCGGCAGGTACCACCGTCGAGGATAGACAGATTGATCATCGCTCTTGCCTTCTTCAATCAAGCCGGCCCCGCCTTCCTTTCCTTTGCATCTAAGCTAGCATTGCTCGGCGGCGCCTTCACCCAGATCATCACCACCATCCTTAAGCACCACGGTCCTTACCACCTTTACCCTTTCAACACTCCTCTTCGCCATCCGTCGCTAGTCCTTCATTCGCGCTACGCTCTAGCAACCTTCAAGCGATGCAGCTTTTACACTATCGGTAAAGATACGACTACCCCCAGTACACTAGGTACCATACCAGCATAAGGTTAGTGTGCACCACTAAACGATACGAATACGAACAACATCGACATCATGTTTGTCCGATCACCTCGCAGATTTGCGATACTCTCTTTTGTAGCATTGGTTTTCATCTTCGCCGTATTGCATCAGAGTCCATGGGCGCAAGACCAGGTTTACGAGCGCATGCCGCTCTTCAACTCGGGGAGGAGACCACAGGAACAGGAGCTCCTGAACGAAGGCCTGGCTGAGTCGCAACCACAACCCGAAGATGCATGGGGTCATGCCGTGCCTGTCCCTGGCGCGAAGCCCAGCACCACTGATGCGCAATTGGCAACTGGCGCAGCACAAGTCATTCCACCGCCAATGGAGGCTACGCGCGAGCCTGAGGTCGACGCGACAAAGCCCACAAAGTCCTACCCACCATGGGTGACGGCGCCATCGAGGACCGGCTCCTTCATCCCTCCCACCCCGAAACCGACCAACTGGAAGGAGTACATAACGAAGATGCTAGATTGGCCGCGACCCAGCTGGAACGGTCATTGGCCGCCTTTTAACGACTACGTCGACAAGAAGTACGACCCCAACCGATGGGAGCAATTCGACTTGTAAGTTCTTGTATCTTGCGCGCACGACATTAATGGTTCTAACCATGTGTAGGGACTACCGCATCTACGAGTCTAGCCATAACAAGCTCAACGACACGATTGCCTCTGATCCAATCGCATACAAACCGTTCCCCAAGTACAACACCCCGGACTGGAAGAAGAAATGGCACGGTGAACATGTGGCTTGTCTAGGTCCACGAGGCAGAATGCTCAATGAGAGCACCGACGATGAGGTTCAGGTTTATAAGGGCATCCCCGAAGACTTCCCTCCGGTGTACGCTGGCGGATATGATGTCATTGGATTGGACGATGATGTCTGCTTCGACCGATACTCGCGATACGGCCCGTACGGTTATGGCGACGATGAGTTCCCAGAGGAGGTCAAGGACTGGAAGGCGCCAGAAACAGTCCCAGAATGGCCTCAAGTAAATTGGGGTGCGCTCCAGGACGATTGTCTCGAGCGCAATAAGGAGCGTTACCGACCAAAGGCTCGATCGCCAATCGTGAAGATTCCCAGCACCGTTCTCCCCGAACCCGCGGTGGCATCATCAGCGTTTGCAATTCCCACAGACACGAGCCGAAGCAACTTGGAGAACCGTGACGAGGGCGAGAAGAAGTACCACCACCGCACCGCCATCCTCATCCGTGCTTGGACCGGTTACAACTATGAGGAGAACGACATTACTGCTATTCGCGCGATGGTCTCTGAGCTCTCTCTTCAATCCGGCGGTGAATACCAAGTCTACCTTTACGTCCATGTAAAGGACAGAGATGCGCCCATTTTCGACAGCCAGTATGAGTATGACCGCATCCTAAAAGAGAACGTACCCGAGGAACTACGCGATATCGCTATTCTATGGTCAGAGTCCATCTTTCCGAAATGGTATCCCAAAGTTATGGACTGGCAGGTCTACTGGCAACAATTCATGTGTCTGCAATGGTTCAGTCTTACCCATCCCGAGTTTGATTATGTCTGGAACTGGGAAACAGACGCGAGGTACACTGGACATCATTACCATTTCTTCGAGAAGATTAGCGAGTTTGCGGACAAGCAACCTAGGAAGCTATTGTGGGAGCGCAACAAACGCTACTATCTTCCGAGTGTACATGGCGATTACCAGTCATTCGTCGAGCAGACCCACAAAGATGTCCTAAATGCATCCGCAAACTCGCTCATCCCACCTCCTGTTTGGGGACCGCGCCCATGGAAACTTGCCATACCACCACAGAAGCCACTGGGTCCTACACCACCAACGACCATGGAGGAAGACAACTTTGAATGGGGTGTTGCTGAGCCTGCAGACTTCATCACCCTTCTTCCGATGTGGGATCCAAGGAACACGACCTGGTCTTACAAGGACAAGATCTGGAACTACCTGCCACACATCCGACCAATCTTCACTCCAGAAGATGGTCAAGCTGATTGGTTCACGCATCCCATCTTCGAGCAGATTGATCGCCGAACTTTCATCAACACTGTTGTACGGTTCAGTAAGAAGATGCTACAGGCTATGCACGAGGAGAACTTGGTTGGACGCAGCATGCAAGCCGAGATGTGGCCCTCCACAGTCGCACTCCAACAGGGTCTCAAGGCGGTGTATGCCCCTCACCCAATCTTCAACGACCGCCACTGGCCCGCTGCTTACACTGAAGCCATCTTCGATACCGCATCGACCGTAGACGAGGATACAGGCGAAGCATTGGAACCTCGCCAGGGCGCCTGGACCGAAGAAGCTGACTCGCCATACAACCATGACCGTGAGTTCAACTTCCAAGGCTGGAGTTGGTATTACGCATCGCGCTTCCCTCGCAACCTATACCGGAGATGGCTCAACTGGCCTATCGTGCAGCAAAATTGGGGAGAGTCAGAAAAGATCGATGGTGGACCAGGCTCTGACGGCGAGCTGGAACAGAAGAGAATGTGCATACCGGGTATGCTACTTCATCCCGTAAAGAGGATGGCCAAGTACAAGGAAAAGCCTTGAGCGAGACGACGAAACGCAACGCAAGGTCTCACACGACCAATGATCATCAAACTGCGTGTTGACACGAGTATATCTGAACACCGACATTTCTGCGGTGTATAGAAGGGGGGCGAGCGCTATTCTATTGCGACTTCTTTCATACCAAAAGCATGGGCGGAGCATCAACCTGCCTCACGTTTTGCTTTCTCTACTGATACCTCTTCCTGTTTTTCTTTCTGTTACCAGACTTTAAGAGTCTGCTGGGCTTCATCGTAGGGATCATTGGCATTTGCTGGACATTTACTTGGCGCTTTGGGAACTATATATGGCATCAGCGTTTTTTACACGCATCGTCACTTGGTTGACAGATTTTTGGCCCGATGGTCGATAGATATAGATGGCATTTTTTTGAATGTATAAGGATTACTGTTCATTTTGTGTCCATCACGGTTCCGTAATTTCACGATTGTTTGCGTATCTCATACGCGTTGGTGAACGAGAAGACACGGCGCTTGATATTGGTAGAGCAAACCTCTGAAGAATGGCGGAGTCTCTTAGAATGCTAAGTATCGCAAGGTCATTCGGGGACTTCAGTGGTTCTTTTTGAAGGACGAGGAATTGACATTCTCATTTAAATTGTCTCTACAACGACCTCTGGCTGGATTAGGCAACCAGCAACTCTCAATGCTCTCTTCGTGGGACGAAGTGTCTGTGCTCTGTGGCCTTGAGGTAGTCGCAGCAAGTATTGTCGTTTCTAAGACCAGGAAGTATATCAAATTGATCGTGATGTACCTGCACCGATCACGCGTGAGTGGCCTCCAAAGGTGCCCTCGTTTTCGAATGAGGGGCATGCATAGCGTCGCGCACGAACCATCCTCAGGGTGACTCGTCATCTTCTCACATCGCGCATTCATCACATTATCAATCTTGGTATGTAACTTGCACATGGTTGGAGTAGGTGGACGTTCCAAGGCTTGCGACAACTGCAAAAGGCGACGTGTAAAATGCGGTAGGTCTGCCCCAGCTGCTCTATGCAGCCCTAACGCGTGTATTGACGTCATAAGACCTTTCGAAGCCGCAATGCGCAAGATGCATCAAGGCGCGATTACAGTGTGGTGGCCCTCGTGGGATTGCAATCATCCAATATGGTCGGGGCATAGCCACTCAATCTGATGATTCTGATCCTGCGCGTTCCTCTGCACTCGAGACCATCGCCACCGCGCCGGCGAACATAAAGCAGCCTGCTCCTGAAATACACCTAGGACTTTCGCTCTCTCAAGATGAAACTTTCACTGCATTCACCCTTTTACACTTTCTGCCGACTTCGGGTATCCTGGGCGTTGCCCCTGGGACCATAACGAAAAAATCATTCCTTGCGTAAGTCATCTTCATCTACCAACTGCACATGAGACATGTATTGACTTCATACACCTACATCTAGGCTTGCTACCACATATTTTGGTATTAAGCGCCAGGATAGTGCCATTACCCAGTTTGGGCTCAAGCGGTACAGTGATGCACTTGGTGCCGTACATTCGGCTCTGGAAGAGTCTATATCTTCACCTACCTTTGATTTGCTTGAAGCGATCATGGTCATGTCACTTATCGAGGTGCGTCCTATGTTTCTCAGCGCATACTGTTTCTCACAGCTACTAGTTCCTTGTCTCAGACCGTGAAAATGGTTGGATAAATCATGCTCGAGGACTGGAAAGGCTGTTCGAAATGCGGGGACCAGAAGCTATGGCATCGCTTCCGTGCCTTATGATCTTGGAAAGGACGCGCCCTTCACTTATCTTTGCTGGACTTGTCTTGCGCAAGCCGACGATAATGTCCAATATTGAGTGGAAACGTGATCCATGGTGCTTGCACCCAGAACGCGTTGACTCGCTCAAGCTTATGTTTGACATTCTCGCAGACTGCCCTTCACTTTTCGCTCTGCGCGATAAGTTATCGTCGTACCCTGATGAAGAGACAAGGATTACTGCAGCTCAAAGTCTCTCTGAAGAATTTCAGCAAGTGGTCGCCAGTCTGGATAGTTGGGGGGAGCGATTTGCATCCGATCCGTCTCACACTCCTGACGAGATTCCTGCGGTCCGAACAACACCAATCATAGGGGATGAGTCCGGAACCTTGCGTTCTGCCTGGTCTACTGTTTTTCGATACCAATCCCTCTATCACGCTAACGCTATGGCTATGTACAATGCTACTACCATACTGGCTCTTCGGTTTTCCGACAGCATTCATGTGGGTTCACAGTCGCCTTTTGAGCACCACATCCGAAAAAGGCGTATATCAGTAGCGGCGCTTTCCATATGCCGTAGCGTTGACTACCATCAGCAAGAGACGTGGGGTGAGCAGGGCAGTTTCGCTTTGCTCTTCCCTCTCCGTATGGCGTACGATGGCCTCGGCGAGGAAGAACCTACAGTAGGCGCATGGTTACAATCTGTCATGCACGACATATCGGCTGGGAAACAGGGGCTGTGGAGATCGGCAAAAAGTCTTTTTGAAATCGGGAGATGAAGTAGCGTCAAACGAAGAGGTAGTCACGCTGCTTTATGACCTTGCTAATCACAGACGCATATCGAGCAAGTTCTGTCTCATTTACTACGCTAACGCATGTAGTGACTCCACGACAATATACTCCATCTTCGCGACCGTCTTTTGGTCTTTTTCCATCCTTCTGTCTGGTTTGCCATGCGCCTTGGTGTCTCTACTATCTTTCTTTGTGGTGCGTTTTCTTTCTCTACGCCTTCTTTTCTCCTCCTTGTTTTCTCGTTTGCGCTCCGCCTTGTCTGCTTTCCTTCTTCCTCTACTGTTGAGCTCAGCGCGTGGTTTTGACATGGAATTTTCTGTAGAGCTGATGCTAGAAGCACTAGATACAGAGCTCATTCTCGAGTCGGAGCTGTAGCTGTCTTCTTCTTTTTTTCTGATACGACGCTCGATCTGCTTTGCAGCCAATCTATCGAGAGCGTTGCGTTGCTCCATTGGTGGGGATACATTGAACGACAATGGTGCTATGTGACGCATGAGCACTTGTATTCGGCGGTATCCTGCTGTTTGTGGCAAAGAGCTGCTACCAAGGGGTCTTGACGAAGTCAGGAGTGGACAAGAAACGCGGCAGGTTTGTACTCACGCCAGTGGAGGCATGTTTAGATCATAATGAAGCCTCTCTGCCAATTGTCTTTCCTTGTAAATCGAAACTTTCAGCCCGCGAGGCGCAAAGTATTCTCGGTTTGCTGTCTCCAAGAACCGGCTAGTTCGCGCTCTTGTCGTTGCAGCTGTTCCAATTCCAGCTACCATGTTCATGCTGGTACCAGCGATCATTGCCCAATGGTGCGGTCTAGCGGTTCTGTAAGAGTATGTCTAGGATTCGAAGGAGATCTCAACGTACACAATGCCTACCACATGGCCTGCTGTATCTAGCGCTTGGAGCGGAACTGGCGGGGCCTGGGCGACGCTGAGATTATCGAGGAACGCGACAAAATCCTTTTCATGGATGTTGAAGGAACGAAGATCGGAACTGTACGCTCGTATGAATGGGAACGGCGTTCCTAGTAAACCGCTTACATCGAGCCTCGCTATCACGACGGGTTTCTGCACGATTCTGTAAGTTGCGTTCGCCATTGCTGTTGACAACATGGCTCACCTGGAGGGTCTGAGTTCTTGGCTGAACTGTGCTTGATGCCCCAGGAATCCAATCTGTTGCTAGATGTAAAAATTCGTCGTCGGGTTGGGATACAATGTTCGGCGGCGATGCGGCTTCGTATGCTGCGAGTGCTTGGTGTGGCCTCTCGAAAGAATGGTTCTCGTAAGAAGGAGGATCCCATGGCATCATGGTATTGTTATATTGAGACTGCATGGCGTAGTTACTGCTGTCCATTCAAGAGTCTAGCAAAGACTATAAGTATTCAGAGCCTCACGCTCAATACGAGATGAGCCGCAGCTTGGTGCATCGCCAGATGCTCGAAGCCCTGCCTGTAGCCCAAAAGAGCCAATTCCTCGAGACTCAGCCTCGCAGGCACATAAGCAAGCGGGCATAATCAAGCACTATCAAGCTCAAAGCACTGTAGATCATTATGCCAATGCGGCTGAATCCTCGAGCATACTAACCGCTTGTTACTTAGTGCAATTAGCGTCATCTGTTCGGATTGCCTATTCGGGCTCATTTCTCGAAACTCGCCGATCAGTCAGTGGTAGTAAACGCTCAACTTGGAATTCAGTGAACGATTGCGTGTTGAATGTACTGAAAAAGCTAGTTGCTTGAATTTTGGACGGTGAGCAGGTCGGAAAATGAAGCCACATAACAGAAAACGAGAATTGCAGGTGTGTCTAGTAGGCTCGTTTTTTTTTGGTAAAAGTACTCCTTCAGCACAACCCTTGCCTATGGTAAACAGTATTGCGGCACAGCTGCCTGAGATAGATAAGTAGGGTGCAGCAGCATACTCGATCGCGAGCGGATAATACCTGCCGCCTAGAGAATACAGGCGCTGTAAAGATACATTGCTTTTGTGGAAGTCGTTATCTATCTACCTGACTGCGCCCTGATAATCGTATCGGCGAGCTTTCCAGCGATGGCGTAAACGCTGGCACTAAGGTGTCCCGAAATCTGCGTCGGAAAGACACTGGCATCGACAACCCGGACATTGTGCGTTCCATAGACTTTGCCTTCCGTATCTACCACACCACCCAAGTTCTTGCTCAGCATTGCGCAAGTACTCACGGGATGCGAATTACCACCCAAAGACTTCTTGATCCAAGTATCCCATGCTGCATCCCTCCAGCTTGCATGCTCAGGTACTGCTTGGAAACCGGGCGAGACTTCACCTATAGCGTGCTCCGCGAGCGGTAAGGTTGCGAAATGTTTGCGTATACTGATCGCAGCAGCAGCTTGCACATACATGTCGATGGGCAACTGCAGAAAATTTGGATCGATACTTGGCGGCGAGTTTGCATCTGTTGACTGAATATGTATCGAGCCTCGAGAAAGTGGTAACAGGTTCCAGAGCTGTGCGATGATCAGG